GAGATGCTAACCTGTGGTAAAAATGCTGTTTTAGCTTGTAACGTAAGGTTCTAGTATTCCCTCTGAGCATTAATGTGCAGAGATAATTAAGAGCTTTCCAGTTTACCACCTTTTATCTAAGGCGCACGTATTAAATTGCATTAATCTTTCTTCAGAGATAATACAATCTATTGTTTTTGTCATTTATGTGTTCTTTGTCAATGTTGCTGTTTCTTTTATAGTCAAATGAAAGAAAACTCTGCACAGTACTCCCAAGTGTGAGATTAGCAAAGCTGATGTAAAGAGGAATTACTACCTCTCTGGCTTTAGAAATTAAACCCGGTGTATACATGAGATGTATGTACAACGTTTTTTTTCTTTGGAACTAGTAACAACTCTTGTCTAACACATTCTTTGCCAGGGACATCTCAGGGATGAAATATACCATCTTTCTTTTTTTTTTTCTCTATCTGAATCTGTTATGTGTTATTTTTTTAGCCACATCCTTCACTTTGAATCCCCTCCAAACCCCCACTATTTTTCCATTTATTTCCCATCTTTTTTTTCAGCAGTCCAGCTGGTGAATAACGATGTAACAGTGTCCTCTTCCTGCTCTTGTGGGATGAAACTGTGAATACTGGGGAGCTGTGTTTGCCAAACAGTCATTAACAGGTTGGGTCACTTTGAGGCCTGAAAACAGTTTTGTGTACATAGACTCCCTGTAAGAGGCAAAACAGACCAAAGAGATCTACTACAATTGAGTGCTTTAGTTTAATTAGTACCTGTTTCCATGAAATCTATAAAGAAGCCATGACATTTTCCTGTGCTATGTTTTAATGAAGGAAATAACGAATTAAAATGCTTTCTGTATTTAGAGGATTAAGGCCCAAAGGGTTAATAGTAATAGAAAAATGGTATTTTCCCACAAAATTGAAACAGTTGTCAATTAAATGAAGGTCTGAATAGGAGAGATTGTAAATGCTCTGATGGAGAAGTGGCTGTGAAGCAGGGAGGATGAGTCTGTGCAGGACATGAGAAGACAGGGCAGAGCTCAGGCAGCCCTGAGAGAATCTGGAGACAGGATCCAGTCTGGAAGTGCAAAATGGGATGAAGTCTAGGACAGCAGTTCACAATCTCACTGCAGGTTCATAGCATGTTGTTTTCTATTTCTAACCATCATGCCCTCCCTGCTAGTCTGTGGTGGCCACTGAAGGTCTTGGTATTCAGTAGTGGCATTTCAGTCCATTTATTTGTATCTTGACAGAAAAAAAAATATTATATGAAAGAAAGCAAAGAAGTAGAAGGCAGCTACTTGGGAGGAGGATAAAGAGACATGTTTACAAGAAACCTTTATTAATCTTTGATTTGGCATAATTATAACTGTACCAAAAAAATGAATAATATGCAACAGGACAAAGATTCTGCCGGAGGTTTGAACCAAAGCTGCATAGGCCTGAATGGATCACTTAAAAATAATCAGGCAGTCTGAGGGGATGACATTTTGCATGCATATGGGCTGCTGTGTTTCATATCTGGGTTTCTTGATGCTTTGCATAGGCCTGAGTCTGCATTTTTATCTTTTTGCAAAGTTATTTCCCATTAATTGGAAATCAGCTTGACCTGTGGTTGTTCTTGAAAAAAATCTGTTTACATCATCAGGTCCTACTGATCTGTATTTAATGTAATTCTTTCACTGGGTTATTATCCTTCAACCTCCAGAGCAGTTTTTAATTTGTCTTTTAACTACATAGTTCTCTTAAAATGCCAAATAAAGGTTCCTGTTTGCATTGTAGTCCTAATTCTTGTTTATTCTTTTATTATAGTTTTCTGTTTCTTCTTACTTGTTATAAACTACAAAATCCTATATTGCTTTTAAGTCTTTAGAAATAATTTATCTCCACTTGCATTGTTTCAACTGGTAAGTTTTTATGAAAGCTGTGTGCTCTGGCCTGTTTCTTCCTACTTAGTTACTTTTGAGCTTGTTGAGCAACGTCAGCCAAAGTTGACAGTGGCATCAGTCTCAAAGATATAAAATATTTACAGGTTTTATGAAAATGGCATTGGTAGAGGGGTAATGAGCTAAATGAATGTTTCTGCAGCATGGTTGTAAGTTACCTGCTCTGTTAGACCTGACTGAAGTTGGGCAGCCAGTGGATGTACAGCTCTGAACCAAATGGTGGTTGTGCTGCTCTTGGACGAGGTGAGAGGGAGCACAGCTGAGTTTTATCTTAGTGCTCTAAGAGCTCCAGGCTGTGGCCAGAGGAAGCCTGGGGTTTGCAGGCATGAAGTTGTGTGGGATGCCTGTGTGAGATAAGTGATTTGCACCTGATCTTGAAATATGCCAGTTGAATGATTCTTAAAGTTGAGCTCTGTAAAGCCTTAACTTCAGTGGAGCAGCCTTCAAACCATGTCGATCAGTTAAATTTTGAGTTAGAACCTGGTGTATATGCTGGTTTAGATACCATTCCAGGCTTGCCAGCAGTAAGTTTGTTGAAGTTTAATGTCTGTTGGCATATTCTGTAAACAGATTTTTTCTTTTTAAGAGAGAAAAATCCAGGCGGAGAATGTATTCATAGTTTTCAATTATATCTTACAGCAGCTCCATGCTGAAAAGATAAAATACAATTTTCAATGTGGGGTTGTTGTCTTGGGTTTTGGGTGAGGTTTTTTTAGCGAGGAGAAATTGGGGTTGTGCTGCTTTTTTTTTCTCAGTGCCTTTTTTAAAATGTGGTTCCACAGGATGTTTGGGAGAAATGTGACATTATTGGGTTTTTGCATTTCGGGAGAGCTTGAAGTGGATCCAGTAAATCGTTTTATGCATTCCCTTCTGCACTGAATGTCAGGAGTAATTTGTGTTGTTGACAGCTATGTCAACATGTGAAACTGAATGAAGGACAGGAACTAAACAAAAAGCTAATAATAGAAGAGGCAAGAAAGTGAGAAGTGAACACTTCTTTAGTAAACTCCTGCTGTCATGAGTATGATGGTCAAGTAGTGCAGCCTGTCCTTATCTGTTACCACAAGCTCCCTCTTGCTGGCAACGTTCAAGTGAAAGAGCTGTTTGTACTTTTATGTGCATTTTGTGAGCATGGGAAACAAGCAATTTACCCAAGAAACATGCACAGTGGATTTATATGGAGGCGTAAAAAGGCACTTTGATTCGTCTCCGTTCATTTATTTATTTACCCTTCTTTAGGCTCACGCTTCCAAAAACCTTTTGTATGAAGTATGGTGTTACTTGTACCCATTGCAAACATTAAATGTGTGGTTTGTCTGCCAGGCAGTGTGAGCCATCATGTTAATTGTTGTTTGGTGCCTCTTCTGCAACAGAAGGGTCACCTCTGCTGGTTCACTGATTACCCCAGTACTTATCCTGTGGTAATCAAATTGGCAACTCTAGTACAAGCTGTTGAAGAAACATTTATTCTATTTTGAGACATGCTTAGTCATCCCCGTTTTGGCCTCTAGCAGGTTATGGGTGTTGCTTCTTGTTCTTTCCTAGTAAATCCCATGAGCAAGCTAATCTGAAGGTCAGTTTGTGAGAAACTGTCTGTGGTGCTGGAGGATGTGAATTCTGGACTGCTCTGTTATTGCCCAGGGATGTAGTGTACTGCTAGCAGAAATCAGAGAGAGTGTCCCATGTTTTGTTGTGTGTTGGTAAATCTAAGAGCTTGCATCATACAAGTATGGAGTGGTTGCTAAATATGGGACAAGCATATGTAAGAGGATCTTCATTAGTAGGGAACACGATACAGCCCTTTCGTGTCCTGAAGACGACATTTAGCTATAAATATTTGTTCACTGTTGTAAACAGAAAACTTCACTAAAGAGACCTTTAATTGGGCTTTTTCTAATAGTTAAACCTGCTTGCTTGTTATTTTTACTTGTGATTTGATGTAGGCTATATAAAAGACATTGGTATCCTGAATGATTAGTATGTTTTGTGTTGATTTTTGTAGGTCACCTTTTGTGCAAATCTAGTATGTTTTGTGTCAAACTGACTTGTTATGTAAATGAAAATATTCTCTCTTATCAGAAGTAAAATGCTTTCTATGGAGACTTGTGCTTCTGATGCCAGGACTCTTCTGAAGACTTACTTTATCGCTTGGCTTAAAGGAAGATGATTTTGGTAATGGATTCTAAGCATCCTTCCGGAGGCTGGTGACCCTTCCATTGTTGGTGAATGCCATCATGGACAACTTCAAAGGGTAAAGACAGTATTTTTGTGAGACTGTTTCAAGCCAGTGCTGTGATATAGCAAGTAAGGGGTTAAGTTTTTGTATTAGATTAACTGCCCCAAACTCTTTTCATTCTTAAAACCATTCACAAATTATGGGAACAAATTAGAGGAAACAATTTGTTGGAGTAGCTGTCCAAGTTTCTATTGTCGCCTCTGAAGCATGTGTTTACTCTGCAGATGTAGTGTAGATATCCTGGAGTTAGCTTGAAATGTACTAATTCAGGTCCTGGGAACAGTTTTACTGCACAGTAGAAGCAGTGAAGGAACTCAGGGTTTATTGAGCAACACTGAAGTAACTTCACTAGATACCTGACCTCTGTTTAAGGTCAATTTTAGTTTAAGTATTTTAAAACTATACTACAGATAATTTTAGATGTACCTTCAGATACTCTTCTACAGTTGTTTAGTTCAAGGGCCAGATTTCCTTCCATGCTTGATTTCATTTCTGTAAGTCAGTGCAATATTTTTTTCCCTTAATAAATCCCTGAAAATAATGCTTAATTTAACCATTAGCCTCTGCATTGCTTGAGGGCTAGTTTTGGCTACTCTTTCTTCATAGTCTTCTCTTTTTTTAAACACAGTAAATGGAAAAGTCCATTAATGTTTTAGTAGCAGTATTTTGTTTAGAAGGATATTCAAAACCACATGCTTTCTAAGAATGTTTCATCAGCTCACTATGTGTATTCATTCTGTTTTATAGCTCTTTTCCAAAACACCACAAGCAGTTACTGCGCTTTCTAAAGGACTCCTGACCTTTTGCATCTTCCTAAGTCGTATCTAGATGTCACCAGTGTTTCCCATGTTAACAGTTCTGAGCATGTTTTACTATATGTGCCTTCGGCGCCGAGCTAGGACAGCAACGAGGGGAGAAATGAACAGCCGGAGGGCTATTGAATCAAACACCCGAGCCTTACCTATCAACGTTGAAATAGTTCAGTATGCCAAAGAAGTGTTGGATTTCAGCTCTCACTATGGTAGTGAAAACAGCATGTCATACACCATGTGGAATTTAGCAGGTATTCCAAACGTGTACCCTAGTTCTGGTGACTTCACTCAGACTGCTGTCTTTCGAACTTACGGGACCTGGTGGGATCATTGCCCTAGTGCTCGGCTGCCGTTCAAGAGAACACCACCCACCTTCTGTAGCCAGGACTATGTGGAACTTGCCTTTGAGGAACCAGTTTATCCTACTGCAGTGCACATTCTGGAAACGTACCATCCTGGAGCTGTAGTCAGGATTTTGGCATGCTCTGCAAATCCTTACTCACAAAATCCACCAGCTGAAGTAAGGTAATTCTTTTCCCCTCCTTTATGCTTTCCTGTGAGATGTTAAATGCTACAAATAATGCGGTTTAGAAAACTTTACTCCCAAGTATTTCTCTGGTTTGAATCTGACCCACTAATGTTTTCTTTATTTCTGCATGTTTTTAAAACTGTAGTGACATGTTTTCATAGCAACTTCAGAGATGTGGATTTTTTGGTAGGAATTAATGCAGATCCCAGTATCAAACTGAATTTGTGTAATGGTCGTTTTTGTTTTGTAATTTTTATGAGCTATAATTATTTTGTATGTACAAAAATCCGTTTTGAAATGACAGTTTTGAGTTCCTCTCTCCAATAAGGAAAGCAAATTGTGTAGAAGAGGCTGAGGAGTCACAATGGCTGTGTCATCCCTTTTGAAGTAGCCAAGAACTCTCTCCTCTCCCTGCATCCTTTAGATTGTATGTGTAGTACAATTGGGCACTGTAGCTATTCATATGGAAATGAGACCAAAACCAGAAGCATAGAACAGTTGGACAAAAGGTGATGCTGTTTGTCTGGTATTTATTTTCGGTCTGATCGAAGGGTGTGAGCTGAGCTTCATTTTTACACTTGCTTCATAGACTGAAAGAAACTGATTTGATCCTATTGCTTTTCCTCATAGCAGGAACTCTTGATGAAATTCTAGACACTCCAGACCTACCTGGGGAATAGTAAGATAATAAAGAAAAACAGTGTATGGGGTGTGAAGCTCTTAGTGAGGAGGTGAGGAGATAGAAATGGAAGGAGAAAGAGAACAGATACAAGCACATAGTGGGGAAAAACATGGGTAAAAACTAGCAGTATGTGCAAAGTACTCAGTATAAATTAAAAAAAATAAAAATTATACTAAGCCCATATAGGAAAGGAGAAAATGTCAACAAATAACTTTATTACTTTGAAGTGCACACTTTGGTGGTGCACCCAAGCATGTTAGCATGTTAACTTGGGTGCTGGGTGTCTTCTCCCTGACCTGCCTTTTACAAATGCAGCTAAAGAATGTACTTTTAGGTCTAACTTATTATCCCATGCTTCCAGTATTGGGCTGTTGATGTTTATTTGTAAACCCTGGAAAATCAAGTGTCATGTTATATACTAAATTCCCAATTAATCTATTTTGTGTGATTCTGTCATCTATTGTAGTGTAGTGCATTGTTAGTTTTACAGCTCTCTAATAATTATATACTGATGAAAAGCTAGTGTGAAATAGCTTTTGGCCAGTTACTCTGGGAGCTTTCATTTTACTTCTTTGTTTTGTGATATTAGGAGAAAACTCTTGACTGAAAGGGCTGTCAGGCACTGGAACAGGCTGGCCAGGGAAGTGGTGGAGTCACCATCCCTGGGTGTATTTAAAAGATGTGTAGATGTGATGCTTAGGGACACGGTTTAGTGGAGAACTTGGCTTTGTGCTAGGGTAACAGTTGTACTTGATGACCTTGAAGGTCTTTTCCAGTGAAAATGATTCTGTGGTTGATTTTACTACTTTATTTTGTGATGTAGCACAGAATCATGTAGAGATAATCTCTGTAACTGCTGATAATGTTGCATTAGGGTAATGGTAAGACAGTGTGCTGCAGGGCAATAATAGAAGGATAAAATTCCAAGTAGTAAGCTAAAGCTGGTTTATAAAAATGTCTGCTTAGGTTTTGGTTCATAAAACAATATACTTTATTTAGGTTTGCGTAAAGATCAAGAAGTGTTGAAGGAAAGCTCAAGGGATGTTAACTGAACGAGCTATTCAGTGAAGTGCACTTAAAAAAAGATAAAATTGTTCAGAGAGTTAAGAGAAAATGGATGTGGAAATACTTAATATACAGTTCTCTGGGATGTGCTTTATGACTTCTCTTTGGTTAGGGTCGGACTGAAAGCTCAGACTTTCCCTTATTCGTAAAAAAGGGTGAAGTTTCTGTAGTATTCTGCTTTTTAATTTATAGGCAGGAGTATCTTCTGTTCTGTCTACCTAGGTTAGCAACTTTTTGGCTAGAAGGCACTTTTCTTGGGTAGCCTTAAAACCAGTTGCATCTTCAGTACTTGCCAGTCATGGTGCTAAAGAAGGGACTTTTGTTTTTCCTCTTGGCTTACTTTTCTTTAGCAGGACTTTACTGTTCAGAGCTACATATTTAATTTGTCTCCTTTTTTCTTCTGAAAAAGACAATCATGTCTCACACATGGTGTCTTGAAAGGAAGATGAAGGAACCCTTTCTCCACATGAGGTATGCAGTATTTTCTCTCTGTTTTCTCAGCTTTATGAGAGGAATATGATGGCCAGGGAAGTGGTGGAGTCACCATCCCTGGGTGTATTTAAAAGATGTGTAGATGTGATGCTTAGGGACACGGTTTAGTGGAGAACTTGGCTTTGTGCTAGGGTAACAGTTGTACTTGATGACCTTGAAGGTCTTTTCCAGTGAAAATGATTCTGTGGTTGATTTTACTACTTTATTTTGTGATGTAGCACAGAATCATGTAGAGATAATCTCTGTAACTGCTGATAATGTTGCATTAGGGTAATGGTAAGACAGTGTGCTGCAGGGCAATAATAGAAGGATAAAATTCCAAGTAGTAAGCTAAAGCTGGTTTATAAAAATGTCTGCTTAGGTTTTGGTTCATAAAACAATATACTTTATTTAGGTTTGCGTAAAGATCAAGAAGTGTTGAAGGAAAGCTCAAGGGATGTTAACTGAACGAGCTATTCAGTGAAGTGCACTTAAAAAAAGATAAAATTGTTCAGAGAGTTAAGAGAAAATGGATGTGGAAATACTTAATATACAGTTCTCTGGGATGTGCTTTATGACTTCTCTTTGGTTAGGGTCGGACTGAAAGCTCAGACTTTCCCTTATTCGTAAAAAAGGGTGAAGTTTCTGTAGTATTCTGCTTTTTAATTTATAGGCAGGAGTATCTTCTGTTCTGTCTACCTAGGTTAGCAACTTTTTGGCTAGAAGGCACTTTTCTTGGGTAGCCTTAAAACCAGTTGCATCTTCAGTACTTGCCAGTCATGGTGCTAAAGAAGGGACTTTTGTTTTTCCTCTTGGCTTACTTTTCTTTAGCAGGACTTTACTGTTCAGAGCTACATATTTAATTTGTCTCCTTTTTTCTTCTGAAAAAGACAATCATGTCTCACACATGGTGTCTTGAAAGGAAGATGAAGGAACCCTTTCTCCACATGAGGTATGCAGTATTTTCTCTCTGTTTTCTCAGCTTTATGAGAGGAATATGAAAACCTACAAGAATACAGTCTCTTTTCTGCTTCAGTTCTTGGTTCTTGTTTTCACTTCCAAAAATTCTGAGATGTCAACTAAAAAAAATGTTTTGAAGGTGGAATGCTGTTGATAATGTCAGGTGATTCTGTGTTTAACTGATGTTTTAGACTTAAAGAACTGCCATACTGTTTTCTTCTGTTAAAAAAGGCTATGTTCCATTTACTCAAAGGGTACTCAGGACTTCGTTTTCTTACTATTTTGATACTCAATTTTATATCACTATATTACTTAAGAACTTAAAGTGCTTCTTTCTTTTATATGCTCTGAATCTGTTTCTTCCTGAACACAAATATAGAAAAGACAGGTCATTAGACAGGTTCCTTTTCACCAGTTCTCACTTTGATATAAAACGAAGACCAAATTAAAAGTGGAGTCAAAACTGTTGAGAGTAAAAAGTCTTTTGAGACTTGTTTAAATGTTATGCTTGGTGGATTATACTAGTGGCTATACAGCCAAGTAATCTTTGTTCTCTTTGTCTAGTATTTAAAACATCAGTTTATCCAAGACTTTGCTGTGTGCAAAAGCTTCTCACCCACAAGAGGCTCTTGTATGTTCACGTACTGCAGTCCTTGCTCAAGAGGACTTCATATATTCTTGTAGAAAAATGGCTGTAGCCTGCATCATTGGCCAGTATGTTGCTTTGTTGCTCAGTTTATGCTTGAGTTGCATTAAAAAACAATTTATGCAGGTGTTCAGAAAGACTCTAGTTCTTTAGTCATGTTCCTCTGTTGCTGGTGCATGGAATTACTGCTGTCAGTTACAGCTTTATTTAGAGTAGTTTTAGAGGTGGGATCAGCTTTTCATGGAATGGGAATAAGCATTTATATTTGTCCTGGTTTGAGCCAGGATGAAGCCAATTTTCCTTTTACTGATTGTTTTTCCTTCAGTAAGCTTTCTTTTAACAACAGTGTGCTGTAGCTAGAGCTGATAAGACACTGGAATGTTTTTCTAACTACTGAGGCTTCAAGGTTACACCTTCACTCTGCCAGCTCAGACAGTATATGGAGATCTGTGACCCCCCCGTAGGAGGCTGAGTTAGACAGACAGCAAAATTGGCCAGAGATATTCCATATATCTACGTAAGCTTAGAGGAAGTCAGAGATCACAGAAGACAACTTCCTTCCTGCTTCTTCCCTTCTCTTCCATCCATGGCCGGTGTCCAGGGAGGACTCCGTCCATCCATCACCATCAACCCCCAGGCTCCAGCTCTCCTGACCCTCATCACTCTGTGCTTTCTCCAGCAGCAACCTGGGATTTTTCAGGACTGTTTGCAGCTCAGGAGATGCTGTGGGAGTTGCTGGGGGTGGGAGGAGGCGAGAGGCTTTTGCTCATACCTGAACATATCTGTATATAATTGTATATATTTTCTTGTGTCATTCATTAGTGCTTAATTAAAGCTGTGTAGTTTAGTTTTCAATCCAGCCAAGTCTCTCTCTTTTTCTCTCCTTCCCTACCTGGGTGGGAGGGGGAGGGGATCGAGAGCATTGTTGTCAGACCTGAGTCAAACGGTGACAATATTTCAGAGTGCAATGTAATAGTCCCAAATAATTCTAATGCTTAGAGCACAACAGTTAATTTGAAGTTTCTTTTTCTCTGTCCTCTCATATCTTTTGCTCCTTCAAACACAGAAGACATGACATCACTCTCCTCTGCATAAAACAATTTAAAAAAACCATAAATGTCAGAGAAACTGCTGTTGTTACACATGGATATCTCTTGTGTTTTTCATTAGTG